TACATATAGGCGCACATTTTTATGACTCGAACACAATCATTTTCTATATTGTTTACTCGTTTGTGTTTTTTGTAGTCCTGCTGTATAATTATGATAGTCATCAAAGAGTCTTGTGAATATATATCAAAAGCGCAAACTAAACCGTAAATATAATTCAGCGCGATTGACAGTTGACCGCAACTACACGACCGTTCCCGATCAATACTTTATATTATTATTATTTATATATAATTATTAATAACGAAAGACCACAGGGCAAACAATAATATTGTTGACAATAGTTGTATCCAGGGTCGGCTGTAAGTTGGTTCAAGGTGTGAATTGTCATAAACTAATAAGGCCTTTTCTTGTGGCCTGTGGGAGACCTGGTTATAGCACCATAGGCCAAACATTWTTTTATTATGCATCGCAATACGCATCGTTATTATGTCATTGAAAATGTAACTGGAATACGAAATATTGTATTAGGTACTTCGGTACCTATAGGTCATATCTTGAGTTTAGAACGTGCTTATATATATTGACATCAAAATATTAATATCACRATGAACTTTTCACAGTTATATTATATATCTTAGCAAGTAGCGTTCTCAGGGAGSGGGAGGGGGGTTAGTGGTTATATCCCCCTCCGTTKTCTTTTTTTGGCCGACCTGCAGAAAATAACTTATTAGTTGTAAGAGCTGTTTTAGGGTTTACTTAACACTTTTTATTAGTCATTAGCAAAAAGTTATAGTAATTTCATATTATGAACAGAAATTATATATAAACTATATAGACATATAGTTGCAGAACGCAGTAATTATAATAAATAATGTTTTTTAAATACCTTGCGGTGTTGTATGAATATTTAATAGTAATAAATATTTATATATTAAAAATATGTTTTAATGTCTCTTATTGTTTATTTATATAGATTCTAATACATAGTTTATTATCTTGAAATCGTTAATATTTTAAATAGGTGTTTTCATTTTCATGTTTTGTATAAGTCTTTGACTTTGGATAATCAAATCGCAATTACAGAGAACAATATTATTTATTTGAAAATATGTTTTCACAGTGTAAATAATAAATATAAGTATTATATACAAATATATAATAYATTTTTAGAACAAATTATAATAATTAATTATGTTRTATTATGCTATTACAGTATTCATTTTATGTATAATTTGTATTGTTATAAACCAACGATTCGGGTCACTATATACGCCGAGATGCACAAACATAATCATACGCTAATTTAACAAAAACAAAAAATGTATACTGCTAAATGTTCAGTATTAAATAATCAGCAGAACATAGTAGGTAGGTACTATCATTTATTATGCCATGATTACTTAAACCTACTAAAAATTATTGAGATTKGTGATTACTTTATTAAATAGTCTTGAAAATCTAAAGTAATTATATTACCTATTTACTCAAAAAATTGATACTATCATTTTTATTTTATTTTAAACAATATTCACATCGATGTTTTTAAATTATATTTGGTATTAATTATTCTGCTGATAAGATTTTCCTATAAATTGGTATTTAGAAACGAAATGGGTAATTTATATTAAAGTTGCAATACTCGTATTATTATAAATTTATTATATTTAGCTTACCTAGTATCTATATAGATACTAAATTAGTAAAGTTACTATACTATAGCAAAGTTTGCAAGTAAGATAGTATAATATATATGTATATACTTACTTAAATATTTGCATGTAGTATTCATATATTAAGATTTTACACAGCAGGAATCAAAAAACAAATGTATTTTTAATGTCGCGGTCGATTGATATTATTGTAGGTATTATTTATAAGTTATTATTTTATTACTTATTGTTGTAATTTGTAAATAATACCTTTCTATAGAATAAATGGCATGTATTATTATAATGTATGGATAAAATGTTGTTATATTTTGTTTTTAAAAATAATTCATTAACTTTAAAATGTACTTCTACCCAGTTCTACGTTTAAGTCAGATTGTTTTTCTRCTTGTTCAGAATAAAAAGTGTATTTAATAATATGACAGTGAAGACATGTAGTATTTGTGATCTATAAGATTTCATACTCAATTAAAMWTAAAATAAAAAAAATAGTTTAATATTATTAAATAATTCATATATTGTATATTATTATAATAGTTTATTCAGAGAAAAAAATGCTTAACACGAGTAACGTTATGTAAAAATCAAATGTTGGGCTTTGCATATTATGCACATAATATGTTGAGATTGTTATCGCGTAGGTACAGTTCATTGTCGGTTTCCAATTCGGCATTTCTCTAATTAAAAATATGGCTCAGCAAAAACGATTTTCTAACATTACATCTACGATAATGTAATACAAAAATATAATTCGCGTGTCGTAAGTGAATTTATGTACCATAACGGATCTTTTGTGTAACACGAAAATAAACTGTTTAATAAACGGTTTGAATTCATCATAAAAACAAAGATAACTCTAATTAAAATAGTATTATGAAACTATGAGAGTCGTCTGAGTCAATAAAAATTCACAATTTATTGTTTTTATACATATGTTATAAGTTATAGTGCAAAAATTTTTTTTACTTAATTGAGCTATTAAAAACACGTATTTCGGCAAAAAAAAATATATTTATCGTTTTTTTTTTTCTTAAAAATAATAAAACATGAAGATATCGCTCGAAGACTGTATATTAGTATTTATATATATATATTATATGGGTTAAATGTCAGAATAGATCTGCGTGTCATATAATATCATATAATATATAACCATAATATTATCATATAATATATTCATATACAAGTAGGTATATGCGCTTTTTTTCGTGTCTATATTAACGTGAAGCTCTTAGCATATTACATTTTAGCGATTTCGTAACGTTTTTCCGCACTCTGACCATAATACAGGAAATAATAATAAAATGTATCATAAATATACAATTTGGACGTCTTATGTCATTATATTTTCGTCGAGTGATACCTTCAATATATAAGTCTGTCTGGGCTATGTTATAAAGCGTTTGTTATTTAAAATGACTTTTAAAGTTAATTTTATCTCTCGCTTAACTTCGATCGGGTTCGATCTCGCAAATCCCGTCTATAAGACTATAAATGGTGTATATTAAGGAAGAACCCCATTATGGTGACGGTGGCAGTAGCTACCATCGCTGTGGTGGTTGCGCTGTACCAGTACGGTCCATTGGAGACATCCCTAGAACCATTGCACATGTCTGAAGTRCAGGAGCAATGGGTAACGTCGATGTCATGTGACCCGAGTCTGCTGTAGCAATCCTGGTCATCGTGAACAGGATCCTCTATGTACCCGCAATCCCGCACTATCCGAATACTCTTGTGAACTGTTTAAAAATATGACAAATATCAATTACCTATACATGTATAATCAATATTATAAGGGTAGTTAGGGGTAATAGTGGTAATAAGGTGAAATGGAACAGTGAATATTGAATGATTTTTAACGTTTTAAATGTTTTAACAACGATTATTAATCGAATAATATTCATGATGTAATATATTTTTAATGTTATACATATAATCACTATCAGTATATAATATCAGGGCGCCGAAGAGTTTAAAATATACCATGCCATAATACATCAAGGGGCCTCATCATCTACCCTATTTTTATAATTTAACCTGCATGCATCTGATGCACATTAAAATCATCTATACAAATAAGTAATGTATAACGTTTAATCTGGATACAGTACACGGCAGTATCTTATGGTGGGCACCCCATCTAAAAACTCGAATATGGTATATGTCATATATATGTATATTAGATGATTGGCGATACTGTATAATATTATATATGTATACTAACTATTTTGGACAGTCTTCCGACATATCACTGGTTCTCTTCCTTTCAAGTGACTAGGAACGTCTGTTATGTTGCAATCAACTAAACCGATGGTGTACGGATTGAATGGATCTCCACACCTCGGATCATATTTAGAATTGCACTTGTAACATATTATAGATTTTGCACCTATAAACACAGTAAAAATAATTATTAAATCTATTCGCAAATACACAACGAATATATATATAATATTATATCATAATATATTCGTATATTTATGCAGTAAAGCAATTTAAATAAGTTATAATACATTTTCATACTGAATTCTTGAGATTTTAGCATTTATTCGATTGTTAAATATTTTWAAATCCTATTCCAGCTTTTAATGGATAAAGTACATTTCGATTTTTATAAACAATTCAGCCAAACTGAATGTAATATTGTTAATATTTATTTAACAATTATTTAACATTATGCCAGAGGTGGATCATTTTCCGCAAAAAACTGAGATACCATTTTCCTCTACTGTCCATTTTACATCAATTATCATAGTATTTACTATTTAGCCGAGTCCAGTAATTGAATCCTAGTTATGTAGCAAGAGGGTTTGGGTSTTTAAACCTCCCTTCATTGTGTTTTCCCCCATACTAAATGTATTTTTTTTTTATACGAAAACTGTAAAAACTTGGTTTWATTTATACTTAACCCCTCTCCCCTTTACAAGATCCAGGCTACGACGCAGCATAGTGTTATGTAGGTACCATATTTAAAAGTGAGAGTAACAGCAGTCGTATAAATTGCATCGTAACTTTGATTAAATCTAATATTAAAATACATTTTATTTTATTTTATTTAAAATTGTTAAATACATTAATTTTTGGTTTGTATAATATAATAATYCAAACATTTATTTTTGCTATTTATTTATTTTGTATTAAATAATATAAAAAAAATATAATATAATAAAATGACTTAAAAAATATTTATTATACTTTTAATTTCTGATTGTAAGAAAATGGACAAGATTTTTTTAGGAAAATAGACAGTGGAAGGCATAGGCGTGTCCAGGCCTCCATGGCTGGGGAGGCCATTTATAAAATTTAAATTTTTTACTTACTACAACGATCTGTATTTAATAATCTATATTTGGGACTTTTTATTTTTGTATGGAAATTATATAGCACTACTAACCATTTAGAAATCCGTGTTTCAACAACGGTAGATTATACGCCAAGAGGCCAAGAATCAAGTCACTGGGGAGGCCGGTGCCCACCCTGCCTCTCCCGTAGACACGCCTATGGTGGAGGGGGAGGTGAAATGGCTACAAGCCTACAACATATACTTGCAGATTAATTATTTAGGTTATTATTTATTTATTTTGTATTCCTTTAAGTTATTTATTTTTTAGTATATTATATAATATTGTTAATTTATACAATTGATACACGTGTCGTATGCTATCTACCGTTATCTATATTATCTACCGTAATCCGTATTGACGGCATCGATATTATATATATTTATAATTCCTTTAGGAATTTCAAAGTTTTGTATTATAGAATTTAGTACCTATGTATTCGTTGATCGCTAAGATCAAACGTCGTAGTTGTGTTTTTTCATTAATTGTAAATTTATGGTTTTATAAAATGAATACATTGGGAGAATTATACAGAAAAATTATTTTTAATGACGAAACTTGTATACAATTTTTAAAAGATCGTGATTTATTACCCAATACAAAGCTATGTACAAAAATAAATTCTATTGGAGAATAATGTATAGTGATGAAATAAAAGAAACTTTAAAAAAAAGCCGAAAACGTGATATCAACGGAGATATTATTACAACAAAATATTTACAATGTAAAAAAAAGGGTTGTCAAACATGGCAATCCATTAGCATATTCTCAAAGAAAATCCATATTTTACTTACACCGACAAAAATGAAAATAGTAATAGTGGATTAAGTTTATGCGAAATATTGGAACTTGTTTGATGCTGGGCTAATCTAAAAATATACAAACAGAAGAAATTACTG